ATGTAAAAAACAAAAAAAATCAATAAATTAAAAGTGACAAAAGGAGTCCTTTCTAATATCATTTCCCTCTAAAATCATATTTTTTTTCTGTTCATGAGGAATTAGTGACAGGTTTGCAGTTATGATGGGACATTTTTTCAGTCAATTCTAGACTTGATTTTAATTAGTTGAAAACTAAAAAAGCTTCTCATTACTATCTAAGGAAAAGGAATGGCCTTACTCAGAATTGGCATATGTGGAACTCTGTGGGGAATGACCTGAGGGGAAAAAGGGGGACTGTTCACACAAAATAATTCTTCTACAATGTCATGGAGGTGATGGCAGGGAGTATTTTTTGGGGGGGGATGGGTGCTTTGGCTAATAGCATCAATACACTTGGGAACCATAAAACATTAAACAGAACTATTTACAGAACACATTTAGTTCTCTGTCCTAGATAGTTAACCTGAGCTTGATGAGTTTAATTTATGGAGGCTGTCTAGGTGTTCTCTGACCATTTTTCACTTATCTTGAGTTTAACTCCCTTTTAACTACCTCTGTTCACTTTTCGTTGTGAAATGTGTTTTTATCGGTCAAAAATAAAACTAAAGAGTTAAATACCTGAGGTTTCTTAAATCTTATGATCTTTCCATTCATTTAAAGCAGTGATCATTTTCCTTCTTTGATTTTTCTATGGCCCACAAAAAAGCTTAAAAATTAAAAAAAATTTAAAAAGCTTAAAAATACTAAAAACTTTAAATATTTCCTTAGGATTCACTTCCAGCATATTTATTCTGATTTACAATGTTACTAAATTTTATCTTTCTAGGGCCAAAAAAAAGCTGTTTTGAAGTAATTCTCAACCACTGTCTCTTCTTCTACCTTCTACAATAACATTTTAAAAATCAAAGTTGTTCAAAAAATTCCCCATAAATCCACACATCTCTCTCTCTCTTTTTTTACAAAGTGCTTTCTTCTATATTGGAAACACTTTAGCTTGTGTCATGTGAATTTTGTTCTTAAGAGCATTCCATCACTTGGACCATAGAGTTTTAGGATAGAGGAACTTTTTGTAACCTCTCCAAAAGTATAGGATATGGGTCATACTATTCCTGCCTTTCCTGTCCTTATAATGAACTCTAAATTGAAGTAGTCACTCCTTCTACCAGCTCCTTTTTATTTTATTAATTAGATTTTGGTCTAAAATAGAACTTTTGGCTTTAGTCATCCTGTAGAGAAGAATTTCTTTGGGAGAGGGGGTGGTATTTAATCATTTCCTGGTCTTGAAAACAAATTAAGTAGGTACCTGATACTTTACCTCTGCGTAATGAGTAAGATGGGGTATTGCAATGGATAACTAAAGAAATAAAGAAACTCTGAAGAAAACTAGATCTTAGGGTATATGGGTGAAACAGTGCCAACAGGTAATGATAACGATAAATTTCAACTCTCTGTCACGTATATTATTGCTTATGCTTTATTCCTGTAAAGTGATAAATGAATGAATATCATTTGATTTATTCCTCATAAAACTCTATTAACTAAGTAATAAACAATTAAGCTAAATAATAGTAAGCTTTGAGGTTTACAGAATTCTTTATAAAGAAATGAGGTAAATGATGCAGGTATAATCCACACTTCACAAATAAAAAAAAAAAAGGAAAAACAAACAAACAAAACTGAAGCTCCAAGAGAGTTAAGCAAGTTCCCTGAGGTCAAACAACTAGTTATGTAGCTAGATTAAGATTTGAACCCAGATTTTTTGATTCCAGGTCCAATGGTCTTTCCATTACAACATATTCCTTCAAATGAGAGTTAGGAAAGGTGGGATAGTAGGCCTTATATTACAATTATATCCAGGCCTGACTTGATCAGTGACATAATCTCTCTCTTCATAAATTTTGTTAAATAATATTGCCTGATATAAAGAATATTTCTTATGTTATCCATAGGTAATTACAGATATTCTATAAAATGTATTTTAGTATCTTAAATAATTGTAAACTTTTGAAATATATTTGTTAGAGTATATTCTACATTTTTGCTTTTTCTTTTTTATTGTTAAAGATTTTGAATTTGAAGTACATGAAGTAGTTTATGATGTAAAAGGAAAAAAAAAAGAAACTGTTTTCAAATGTAATCATAAACATTCGAAAGTTGCTATAAATCTCAATCTCCCTGCACAAAGCTCCTGTCAGGAATTAGTAGTGGTTCTACATAAAGGAAGATTTTTTTTTTACCTACTCTGAAAACCTTCAATTCCATGCACTTAACGCTTCTTATCATGCATAGATAGTGAGCAATGAAGGAAACATGAAACATCCAGACTATAACCCAAAGACCTGGCAAAGAGAAAGCCATTAGGCATAGTCAATGGTCTGGTCCATCAGAAAGAAATGGAAAAAGTGAGTACAAGATTGTGAATTCTGATGTTCAATGGATTTGGATATCTGAAAGGGCCATGCAGCAAGAGTGATTAATGATGATAAAATTCAGTTTCTTTTTTTTTTAAATATTTTATAAAATAAACTTGATTTTTTTAGATAAAAATAATAACTGGTCTTTGGATATTAAGTAATTATTAGTGAAGCACCTGCATAACTAGTAAGTAAAACTTTTCCTTTTCATTTGAACAGTTTCCAAACTAGATGGCATGATTTTCTAGATATACCAACATTCCTGGGAATCGTATGCGAATTTCTGATAAAATATTAGAACTTAATTATAAGCAAGTACAGAAAATATCAGCAAAATTACTCTTGTATAGATATAATGCCACAAATAGTTTTTACCCAAATGTACTTAGAATTAGATAAAAATCAATGTAAAAAATACCTCCTTAGGTTAAAGCAGAAAGTCCAGAACTGAATCCTAGAAGAAGATTTAACTGAAAACTCTGAATTCTAGAACAAACGAAGTAGAAAGTACTAGTTTTCTTTTAATATCAGTGCTAGATACACAGAAGGAGCAATTATCACAAGCTCTCCCACATCAAATAAGCTGTTGAGAAATATGCCTATCTCGACAAGGAAGAATCAGAATAAAAAGTGAATTTAGTAACTTAAATTCTAATAAACCATAAATCATACTTTTGAAATTTTAGAAGACAACCACCAGATAAGGTACCTTTCCCAGCTATGGCTGGAGGGAAAATAATTAACCAAAATGTAACACAAAAGCAGTCACCAAGCATAAAAAAGATAATTTTTATTACAAGAAACTATAAAACTTTTATGTGAATAAATTTAATACAACTAGAATGAGAAAGAAAGCAGTAAACTGGTAAAACAAAGTAACAAAGCTCTCTGACAGGAGTCTAATATCAAAGATATATAGGCAACTAAAGAAAATATGTAAGACTAAAATGATTATTTTGATTAATACATATGAATAAACAGCTCTTGCAAAAATAAGCACAAACTATTATTAAACATATCACAACTAATAAGAGCACATCACTAACTAGTAAGAGCACTTCACATCACTACTAATAAGAGCAATTAAATCAAAACATCCCTGAAATTTCACTATTTACTATATCTACCAATCAAATTGGTAAGGATGAGAAAAGATGAGAACAGTAAATGTTGAAGGGGCTGTGGAAAGATGGGTACACTAATATACTGCTGGGGGAGTTAGGAATTGATCTAAAGTGAAACATTCTACGAAGTAATTTGGAATTATGCTAAGAAAGTAACTAAAACGCCAACACCCCAAGACCCAGAAATCCTATTGTTAGGCATATAAAGTAAAGAGCTCAATGAAAAAATGAACAGTCTCATAATATGGCAAAATATGTATATCAACATTCTTCAAAGAAGTAAGGAAATTGAAGCAAAGTAGATACCCATGACTTGAGAAATGACTAAGCATTAATATAATTGATATCATTGTGCTATAGCAAACAATGAATGTAATGAATGCAATGAAGCATGAGAAGAATTATATGAAATGATTGGAAGTGAAGTAAGCAGACCCATGAACAATAGCAGCATAAATAGAAAGAACAACAACAAAACAAGAAAAAGTGAAGGTTGAGAAATTAAAATGTTCAGGTATATATGTGATGTATAAAGCATAAAGGCAATGTATAAGAATGCACATCCTTCTCTTATTTGCTGAGGTGGGAGACTCTGGGTATAGAAAACTTCATAAATAGCCAAACTTGGTTGAGGTGGGAGTTAATAGCGATAAACTGTTTTTTTTTTCTTTTCCTCCTCTTTTAAAATTCTTTGTTATAAGCATACTTGTCTGACATGGAGGAAAAATGGAAATATTATGAAATATAAGTAGTACTAAAACAAAACATAAAATATGGAGGAAAAATGTCTATCTATCACATCTCACACTTTAACATGTAACTCCTCTCTTTTTTTAAGACTGACATAATGACTGCATATGTTGAACACTGAGTCCACAAACTTAATTACTTAACTGCCATACTAGACAGATGCCCATTTTGTTGTCATTCAGTTGTTTCAGTCATGTCCAATTCTTTGTGACCCCATTTGTGATTTTCTTGGCAAAAATACTAGAGTGGTTTGCCATTTCCTTCTTTAGCTTATTCAACAGATGAACAATTGAGGCAAACAAGGTTAAGTGACTTGCCCAGGGTCACACAGTTGCTAAGTGTCTGGGGCCAGATTTGAACTCAGGAAGATGAGTCTTCCAACTCCAGGCCCATCCAGCTGCCCTATAGATGTCCATACAAATCCTATTTGATATCGGTAAACCAAAATGTGTGCCAGAAGAATCTGGGAACCATGAGTGCATTCTTGCACCATGGTTTCCCTTTTGCCTAATTAGGTGAATGGTTCTACAAATGCAGGCTAAGCAGTAAAATAAAAACAAAAACAAAAATAATACTATAAGTACATATTCCACAAAACTGTAGGGAAGAAATTTCTGCATCCATTAATTTTCTTTTATAGAACAAAAATGATCTACTTTGATAAATAAATTATGTTTATGTAAAAGGACTATAAGAATCTAAGGATAAAAATAGTGTAAGTTTTACATACATGTTCCAGGTAGAAACATCAAATCAAGCCACTGGACCAGGCACTGTGCTGTATTTCTCTTCTTGAAGGAAACCTATGAAGGCTATAAAAGAAACACAGGAAAAAGGGGGAAGATTAGATTTCCATAAAGGAAATAAAAGAAAAATATGAGACAGTAAATCCTTTATAACACAACACTTGCAAATCAGAATAACAAAGACAGGCCAATAAAAGGTAACTCAGTGAAAACGACCTGGAGAACACTTGTACTAATAATAGATAGCAATTAGAGTTTGCAAAGTGTTTTACTTATGTTAAATCATTTTGATCCTTAAACAACCCTGTGAGGTAGGCCCTATTATTATTCCCTATTTTCAGATGAGGAAACTGAGGCACACAGACTCATCCAGGGTTACACAGTGGTTGAGATAGGATTAGAAATCAGGTCTTCCTGATTCCAAGCCCTAAATTCAGTTGCCCCAAAACTTTCACTATTGATGTATAAGGTAGAAATTGATAAAATCACAGAATCTTAAACTTGAGAGGGAACTTAGAGGGCATCTCATCCAAAATCTACTTATTTAAATGTGTGATTCAGTGGATCCAGCACTGGGCCTGGAGTCAGTAAGACTGGAATACAAATCTGGCATCAGATATTTACCAGCTGTGTGATTCTGGGCAAATAACTCAATCCTCTGTCTTCCTCAGTAGTTTTCTCAGCTATAAGATAGGGATAATAATTACACCTACCCCTCACGGCTGTATCAAAGGTCAAATTAGACAATTTTTAAAGTGCTTAGCCCAGTGTCTGGCACATAACAGACATTAACAATTGCCTTTTTCCTCCTTTCCTCCTTCTCTTTATCTCCTTCCTTCCTCCCTCTTTCCTTCCCTCCCTTCCTTCTTTTCTTCCTTTCTTTCTTTTCCTTGAACATTGAAAGTGACTAATTAATGGAAGTGGAGCACAGTAAAGGGCAGGTAGTGTGAAGAGTAAATGACTATGCTAATGTTGTCTAGAGACAGAACAAGGTGAATTTTCCCCCAAGACAGATTATGGCCACAAACCCCACGAAAGCTTCTGTGGAGGAAAAAGCAAAATTCAGTATGTGGTTATTAAGGGCTGTAGCAAAAAGCATGTTTTACCTCCTATTCAAAGATAATTGCCAAATTCTGTGGTTCCTACAGCCAATCCTAGCCAACAGTTAAACTAAAACTAGCTTAGACCAAGACATCTTGTGCCTATCAGATTTACTAATGTACCAATTGTTTATAATTAATTAGTTTACTATGCTATTTGCATATTTCTAAATGTTATCCTTCCTTCCATAATGACTCACATCCAAAAACAGAAGAAAGAGTGGAAAATATCAAGAGAGAAATATTTTAGTGTCATCTATGAAGGGGGGATACAATGCAAAGACATGTGAGCCTTCCAACGATTAGTGTCAGTCAATGCAGTACTTAAAGAAAAGGATATGATTATCTCACCCCTGGGATTATATAAATGCCTTTCCATGGTGGGGTTAGGCTTGATCATCTCTCTAAGATCTTGTCCAGACATGGACATTTAAAAAAAAACTTGAAAAGGTGACTTCTCTCCCCCTGAGACAGCAACATCTATTTTAAAACCTGTTCTCATTTAGAAATTGCCTTTTATTACAAGTTTGTTATGTTCTGTATCATATTAAGGGTTGTTTTGGGCCTGAAGGGGAAAAACTTGCTTAAATAAGCAGTTCTGGCTACTAGACTCTCTAGGATAGATACCATTTTCCAAACAACAGTCGTGTGTCTAAACAATAATAGCCGTTTTAGGGAACTAAGTCTGGATGCAGTGGCATGCCGATGTCGTCATTCTTGCAATCAACAACAGTTCAAGATAAAAAAAAATGCTTATTACCATGAAATGTTACTTTTTCTTGAGCTAAAATCAAGAGACAGGAAATGATGCCAACATATTAAGTCAAAACAAAGCAACTATAAAAACAAAAACAAAATCCAAAGCACCTTAGATGTCCAAATAGGAGAAAATTTGGACAAAGCACTTTGAGAATGAGTAACACATGAAATGAGACAAGTGAATTATTTATTTATAAAGTATTATAGGCTCACCTTATCTCTTACTTTTTGCTATATGTATCTGTAGGAATGAATTATAAACTTTTTAGTTTTAAGGTTTAATGCATATGAACTGAAACACGTTACATTACCCAGGGTTCAAGGTTGAAGAGGAAAAATGAAGACTGTGAGACGAGTAAGACTGAGTGCCAGGAACACACAATTCTAGTATATGAAAAACATGGCTGCATAAAACTGGTGACATATATTACATAAAGGAATTCCTTCAATAACAATTCCCTAGCCTTCACAAGCATTGCTAGAATGTTTATTATTAGACAGAAAGGCTGAAAGGAGGGAAGGGAATCTTACTATAGTGAAAATGTTAGAGGTCAGTGCTAATTAAATAGTGATCAGAAATGACAAGCACTTAGCTGTCAAATTAAATATGTCTAGCATAAAAGAGGGTTTGATTATGAACCATTAGTCAACACATCATTTCTGAGCTCACCTTGGTGATAAAAAGAGATAATCTATGTAAAATACTCTGTAAACCTTAAAGTGTTGTATAAATGCTAGCTATTATTAAAATGAGATACCCTTCTAATAAGATCTTTTAAAATTTAACTGAGGAAAAAATCCTTATAAAAATTACTCTGAAGTACTCCCTGGCTCCCCAAAAAATCACTTCAGGCAGTAAACATTTCTGGATATCAACATGATTTTTGAACTTAGGATCACCACACACACACACACACACACACACACACACACACGGATGACCATAGCAAGATTTAGTAAGCATTAGCACAAGTACTATCTGTTCTGTTTCATTCACACATTATATTTTAAGTGTACAGCATAATTACATTTTTAAACACTCTCCTAACACACAGGAAGCCTTGTCATTGACACTTGCTCAGACAACAGGCTCCATCACTTTATACCCTTCCACATTTCACCTACTCCGAACTTCCATGTTTTCTATTAACAAACATAATTGACAACTTTTTTCTAATCTCGCAGTGGATAAAAGGCTAAGAATAAAACATTATTTACTTGTTAGGAGTCTGTGAGAAAGCTTTATTTGAAAATTATAAATGAAATAACAAATAAACATTGCCCAGTATCACTTCTATCTAATGAAGTAACTTTTAAAACACACACACACACACACACACACACACACACACACACACACAAACACACACACATTAATCAAAACAACAACAGCAGCATAAAACAACTTGCCTCAACAGGACATTGGCACCTAATTTTTCAAATCTCATGGTCTTAATCATGGCCTAAAATCATAACACATTAGTCCTTCAGTCATGTAGATTTTTTCCATATTTGCAACCTTCACCTGCCTAATCTCAGACATCTTCACTTAAAGTATGATAACTGTCCATCTGACACAACATTATTTAATTTATCCATTTGAATTATTTAGCACTGATACCTATTTGCCCTACCACACACTTGCCAGCTCTTCCCCAATAACATGGTCTTGACTCTAATGACCTGAGTCAGTCCCTAGGTGTAGTTTCATCCAGAACCTTAAATCTTTACTGTCTTCATGGCCTAAAGTAAGGTCTACACCCTCATGTAGGCATTTCTAAACCCATTCTGGTCATGTCACTACATTCATCCAATCCTGAAATTATTATAGCCAACCCAACCACCATCTAGTGTAACAAACATCTATTAATCAACACTATTTTGGTTTTCAACAAGTAAAAGATTCACCATCTCACATTTCTCCAACTTGTCTAAAACAACATCAAAGCAGCCTCTGTCAATTACTTTGCTGCAACCCATATATACTCCACCTATAACATTCAATCAATCTACCAACCTAGCACCCTAAAAGAAAAGATGGAAATGAAATTAGTGTTGTAATGTTGATAGTTTCTGAACCTATGTGAGCCACCTAGTGATAGTTTTAAATATTGTACAGTTTAACCTTTTCAGAGCAGAGAAAGAAGAAAGAAGGTAATATTAGATGCAAAGAAGTCAGAATAAAACCTGTACGTTCTAAAAATTAGAGAAAATCCTTTTGGAATTTTTTTTGGGTAAAATTCAGAAACTACCATTGCTCCTATTAAAAAGTTACCAAAACTAAGACTGGTCAATTAATGATTTGCATACACATTTTAAGATCTTTTAGAGTCTAACAGAAATGATGCCATATGACTAACCATTTCTGATCAAAGAGCAGTACACATTATATCCAACACATCCAATTGCTAGATGATCTAATAAAGACTATAACTTATTCATCCCAACCTTGACCTTCAATAATTTTATCAAGCTTACAGGAATATGCCTGTCACCCTGTTATACTTTGCCTCTTCACTATCAACCACTTCATTTGGAAGTTCACTTAAAATTTGTCCAGACTTCAAAAATAGAAACTAGGTCTCTTACTATTCCTCATGGACTTATTGAAGTACAATATGATAAGCATTTATGAAGAATCTACCATATGCAGAAAATTGTATTAGGTGCTGGGGTACAAACAAAATGACTCTAAAAAAGCCCAGGGTATAGCATTTTCATATAACTTTCCCTCTTACACTGTACAAAAATAAAACCCCTAACTTGAAAGGAAATAATTGAAACCTAAATAGAAACATCACTATTTAATTTAACTGCAAATTATCTTTGTCTTTCTCAAAACCCCACAAAGCTCCAATTAGAAAATCTTTTCCCTCTAAGTTTGGTAGGAATAATGTTACCAGGGAAGAAATTTTGTATCTAGATTTCAAATAAGGTTACTAATTATTATTATGGAATGTTGTGGAATTCCACATTCTTTACTAGGTATCATCTTTGCTAGGTATCTCAAAGATTAATAAATATTTCAAGGATGGTAGAAGATAAGGAAAGAAACAGATAATTCATCTCCCTTCATCTTTGTGCATAATTCTCTGTCCCATTCTTACCTTGTTATTTGCTGCTATTGATATTTATTATCACATTAGCACAGGCGTCATATATAAGAATATCAATCAAGGTCTGGAATTTTAAATAAGGCAAAAATAA